TCTCTCTCTCTCTCGCTCTCTCTCTCTCTTTCTTTCTCTCCCCCCTCTCTCTCTCTCTTTCTTTCTCTCCCCCTCTCTCTCTCTCTCTCTCTCTCTCTCAATCTATTCAGATCTTCTCTCGCGCGCTCTACTCTCTCCTTTGTTTGCCTAAGCGTGTAATTCTATGCGATCGCGAAGAAATTCAATTCTACGATCGTGTTACGATATTTTTTTACGTATTGAGATAGACTCTATACCCTCTCGCTCTATCGCTCTCTCTTCTCTTCTCTCTCTCTCTTTCTCTCGCTCTCGCGACGACGAGGGTTGTGATGGTCGCCAGAGGGCGTGAGCGTAGCTCGTCGACGGCGCGTCGAAATGCGTTGATTATGAGAGACGACGATACGTTAGAGTTGTTGTCCTGGCGAAATGTACCCGTGGGTTTCATATGCACGCATGCGCACGCATACGCCCACACACACGCACACATATACACACATACGCACACATACATACACACACGAACACGTATACACACATACGCACACATACATACACATACGCACACACACACACACACACACACACACACACACACACACACACACACACACACACACACACAGCCAATAGTTCAATTACGGATTACGCGCCGCCTCTCGGCGCAATTTCGTAATGTCAGCTCCGCCATAAACTATTCATTTTCACGTGCAGGAAAAATGCATCGGGGCGAATGCGAACAGCTGCCGTCGTGATTGTGCGTTCTAACGTCAACGACAATGCCTTTCTCAACAACGTGATTATGCGTTCTAACGTCAACGACAACGCCTCTCTCAACAACGTGGCGCGGCGGTGAAAAGCTGACGTGGCCCCACGCGGCTTTGTGGGGGAGCGTTTCTCGCGCGATCACGCGAGACGTTCTTGCACAATTACGCGAGGCGTTCTCGCGCGATCACGCGAGACGTTCTCGCACGACCACGCGAGACGTTCTCGCACGATCACGCGAGACGTTCGTCATGAAACAAATGCTCGGAGCGACTAGTGTCTTTAGTTTTCCATTTTCTTTTCTTTTTGATATTTTCAAGGGTTTATGAGTACGTATATACGTGTTTGCATAGCAAACGGTGGTGTATCTAACATCTAGAGTCCATAATAGAAAAGTTTCTATTACAAAATTCCTATTGTACGAAATTCCCATAATATAAATGTTCTATTATGGACACTGGATCTACATCTAATAACTGCATGTATCGTATGGCTCAGGTTTTCCTTCGAATAACTGCATAGTATGACGTAGGTATTGTAGATAGAGTACGTAGGCTATAGTATGAGGGTACCGTACGTAGCATTAGTCTTTCTGTCTGTCTTTCTCTCTGCCTCTCTTTCCTCCCTTTCCCTCCCCTCATTCCCTTTCGTCTTCACTCCTTCCCTCCCTTCCTCCATCCCTCCCTCTCCCTCTCCCTCTCCCTCTCCTCTTCTCTCTCTCTCGCTTACGTTCGGTAAACGGTGACAGCATGAGTAGGTTCACGCAGGCCGCTCCGTAGCCGTGTCCGAATATGGTTACGTTGTCCGGATCTCCCCCGAACCTCTCGATGTTCTCCTTGACCCAGTGCAGAGCAGCGATCTGATCCAGTAGTCCGTAGTTACCGCGCGCCGTAGCTGTCTGCTCCCAGCTAGACTCTCCCGTGCTGAGGAAACCTGCAGAGAGAGAGAGTGTGTGTGTTATACAATGAGCAGTGAAAGAGGGAGCGGGAGAAGAGAGAGGAGATAGAGAGAGAGTGTGTGTGTGTGTTATACAATAAGCAGTGAATGAGGGAGCGAGAGAAGAGAGAGGAGAGAGAGAGAGAGTGTGTGTGTTATACAATGAGCAGTGAAAGAGGGAGCGGGAAAAGAGAGATGAGAGAGGGAGAGAGAGAGAGAGAGAGAGAGA